TCAGTATTCGGTTCAATACGACAAGCTGAAATCTACATTCCAAACATACATAAATGCTTCTATCTCTCCCATTCCATAGCCAGTGGTTTTTTACCCCCACAGGCTCTCGAGGATCCCATCCAGTGATATCGCTCCATCTTCCATCTTCCTCCAGAACTCCTCCTGGGCTCTGCTTCCATGCGCCCACACTCATAGCCTCCCTCTGTTCTCGACTCTCCCAATCCTCTTTGCCCGTACGGAACTATGCTGATACAACTTTAGTCATACTTTGGGATCCTGGAAAGCCTGCTCTCCAGGTCAAAGAATAATTTAGAACCACATAAGTAAATGATGGAGCAGATTAAGATAGAGGCCAAGTGTCTGGCTTGGATGGTTGCGTGCGTGGTGACGCCTTTAATGGGCAAAGTATGTTTGAGGGGTACTGTGAGTTCAGTTTGAGACACGATTAGTTTGTCCCTGTCCAACATTCAGAGATGGTGTTCTGGTCTATAACTCATGGTAATTGATATGCATTTGGAAGAGTCATCGACAACCACATATTAGAATATTGAGCACAAAAGACTTTCCGGAAAGAGAAGGTAAAGAGAGAACTGTAGGTCAAGAGTAGAGTTCTGAGGAGCAGGTGAGGACGAGCTCATAATGGAGACTACAAACAGAACACTGGTCATGGAGGCCAAGAGAGGGGAGGTTTAAGCATTAAGGGGTCAGTCCACAATACAAAGTCCATCGGAGAAAGGGACTAGAAGACTAAAACAAGGAGATGAAAATTGAGGAAGTAAAGATAGCAACCGTAGGGAACTTTTTCAAGAGTTTGCTTGAAAGGAAGGAGACAAATCAGGTGAGAACCAGAGGTTTAGACAGGATCAATGGCAGAGCTTTCAAGGAGGTGAGGGAGACTTGCACAAGACATAGACTGAGGAGATAATTGAAGGTTCTAGGTCCCTGGGGAGAGAGGAGGAGTGAGATTAAGACTACAGGTGGGAAAAGACTGGCCTGGAATGGAACATGGGTTCCCTTATCCTCTGAGACTCACACACCCAGTACAAAAGGTATCTCTTAATCTATGACAAAGAGGAACCTATCAATGATATATAGAGATGTACTGATAAATATATAGTGACAAAATGCTATACAATCTTTTTTCTTCAGTTCCTAATATTATTATGGATCCAGAGATGTCAAAAGAATGGTCATTCCAGGCAAAACAGGCCAGGCTACGCCTCAAACTGTCAGGCCTCTTGGCATAGTTTCCCAGGATAGCAGGTTGCTTTCTCATCTTTCCGTAAATGCACTTTGGACCTTGACCAAGTTCCCTCTCTGGAGTCTTCTTCCCCTTTGCCCTTTGTTTCTCCGTGAGTGAAATAAATGGGTTGGATAAGATCACAGGCAGCAATGTATATGTCCATCAACAGATGAATAGGTAAACGAATTGTTGTATAGCTGTACAATGGAATATTACACAGCAATAAAAAGGAATATACTATTTATATACTCAACATGGATGAATCTCCAAATAATTATTCTGGGTAAAAAATAAATAAAAGCCAGACAGCAGGAAGCCTCCCCTCAAAATGAGTATATACTGTATGATTCCATTTGTATAAAAGCTACAAAATGCAAACTAATCTATAGTGACAAGCAGATCAGTTGTTGCTTGAAAATGAGGGAACAGGTCATGGAAAGGGGTGGCAGGAAGAGATTACAAAGGGTCATGAGGAAATATGGGGGCGTGCTGCATGTGTTTATTATATTGATGGTGGTCATAGTTTCAAAGGTGTAGACATATGTCAAAACTTATCAAATCATATACTTCATATGCACTTTATTGTATATCAATTATACCTCAAAGCTGTAAAAACGTATAATCACAAAATGCTCTTTAGGTGACTTCTGACTTCCAACTCCATTTTTATTTTCATGATTCTTCTTCAATCCCTTTACAGGACTCCCTTGAAGAAATGTCATTAGCCCCAGGCAAATACACTTTTGCTATTTGAAGGCACCAATCTTGGTTTTACCAACTGAAAACAAAAGCGGAAAGTTCTAAGTCGCTTTCCTAATAATGAAAGTTATAGTTCTTCACTCCTTCCAACCTCATCAAAATCTTACTAGGATCGAATGTCCTGAAAAATGACCTCTATTCTCTGTTTAAGACATAAAGTAAACAAGAAAAATCAAATCTTGTGATATAAATGAACTGAAGCTAAACATTTTAAGAATTACCTGGTTCCTTTGGAGCTAACCCAGTTATTAATAAAAAGGGCTCTTCTCTCTGTGGAGTGGCACTCTCACCAAATATTAGCTTGTTGGAGGACTAAACAAGCAGCAATCCAGAGACAGGGAGATGTGGATGGCTGTGGTGGGAGTATTTTCTAGTCCTGCTTTAACCTACAACTGCAAAATTAACTGGCCCCATTTAAAGCTTCACAATTTCTGACCACTGGTCTACATTCCTAAAAGGTTACATGTAAAATAAATGTTGTGTGTGTGTGTTTTATTTTTATTTATTTACTTTTTTATTTATTTTTTATTATGGTGACATTGGTTAACAAAGTCCGGTAAGTTTCAGGTGTACAATTTAGTAGTAAGGCGTGGATACAGTATGTGTTTTAAGTTGAACCATTATTTTCTAATTCACTTACTATAATGAAGAAACAGACTTGGGGTTATATAAATTCTGCCTTTGCAATTTACAAGCTTTGTGATCTTGGACAATCCTTGACGTCTCTAAGCTTCAACTTCCTCCTCTAAAATGGAGTTGAACTCAAAGAGCTCACCTAAAGATTATATAAAATGAGAAAGGCATAGGGCCCGGTACATAGACAACACTCAATAATGTTTTATGAAATCTGTATTATAAATATCTATTGAGGTATGATTTCAGAGTCCCTTATCTCTTCTTCTGATAAGCCTTCATTTGGTTATAACTCAATACGATATAACATTAAGTTTATCTTTCTCTCACCTCTGTCACATTAATAATCTGAATCCACAAACAGGTAAGAGCACATTAAGGGAATCTGCTATTTAAAACAACAGCTAACACATGGAACACTTAAAATGTGCCAAACATTGTATGTGCTTTTCTTAATCTGTCATTTAAACCTCACAATACTATAAGGTTCATAATATTGTTATTACCCCCATTTTACATATGATGAAACTCAATCACAGATAAAGTCATTCTCCCAAGGTCACATAGCAAATAAAAAGCGAGGAGAGTTGGGGATTTAAACCCAAGCAGTCTGACTGAGGAACATCTGTGCTTAGCCACTGTATCGCAAGTTTTTTAAAAATGGATTTTTAAACACTGCTGTTAAACAAATCATCACAGACTTACCTGCCTGATAACTTTGGATACTGAGTCATAACAATCACAGGTCTCTCAAGAAAGGGATTTTCAGAAATGTTAGACCATGATCCGCTGAAGTCCAGCCCCTGCCTCTAGGCAGGGCCACAACTAGGTAATTCAGGGCTGGTCAAAAGCCTCCTGAGAACAAAATCCCATGATTTCCATTCACAGTTCATGCCCAAGTTTAATAGTCATGGAATTATTAAATTAAAACTAATTTAAAGACTTTATGCTTCAGGCTAAGCTCCATTTCTTGGGCTGGTAAACCCCAGTACTTCCATTTCTCTTACTCATTCACTCAACTATAAAATAAACATTTAAGCACACAATGCTGAGTTGTATCACTGAACAAGTTCTGATAGAATCAGTCAAGAGAATGGCAAACTGGAGGGTAGAGGTGATTTGCAATGGGGAGAGGAGAGGCTACGTTTTGGGGCTTAACCTTATATGCTGAAACTTCCCAAAACAAACTCACCCAGAACAAACCCGGGGTGAATTCCAAGTAAATCGCAAGCAGCCATGCCTGGAAAACCTACACTTTCCTTTTCCCTGAGTCCTAAATCTACCACCACCAGCCATCTGCCCTGTGTAAAAGCTTTTCTTTTACTGAAGGCTGTAATTAAGTGGACTCTTTTCTCTTCTGCAAACAACATAACTTCAATGGCTGAATTATAAATGCCCAATGCAATGTTGCTGAACAGTGAAAACTGTGGAGAGGACATGAGGCCTTTAGAGGAGGAAACACAAGCCTGGATCCTGGTCCTGGTTCCATTGTGCCTTCCTTCTGTTTTCACTGAGCACCTACGCACCTAGAATGCCGAAGGGAAGATGCAGTCCCTGCTCTCAGGGAACTTACAGTCTAGCTAGGGAGAAATGAAGTGCACAAGCCAGGTGATCTATGGCAGAAGTTACAAAGGCAGTTAAGCTCCTGAGTTAAGGAAGCACCGGGTAGGCTTTCATCCATTGTTACTCTCACACTTCACTGAATTTAGACTTTGTTCACTGAAATTGGAATAATAATTCCTTCTTAATCTACTTTATGATGCTGTGCGGACCTCAAAGGCCAAAGCTCCTAGAAAAAGAGGGTGATTCAAAGTAGGGACTGTTGATTAGCGACGTAATGGCGCTAATTTGCACATTTAAAAGATATGTTTCATTTAACGGTGCTATAGAGAAGCGGAGAGCAGAGAGAATGGTTGCGAATAGCTGGTACCTGCTCCGAAAACAAACAAACAAACAGGCCTGACAACGTGGAGGGGAATCGGAGCAATCTCCAAAGTCAAAACCTCAGAAAGTGACAAGCTCACCACCCGCAGCCACTCGCGTCCTCCCCGGGGTCACTCCCCAGGCGCTCCGCACCACCCCCACCCCTGAAATCCAAGACCCAGGTCTCTGACGGCCCGGATCTTGTCCCGGGCACCCCCTGGCGGCCATCCACGCACAGTGACCTTTCAGAACGCGGGGGCCGGGCTGATGAAGTAGGGAGAGAAGGGGGTGTGGTCTTCTCGCGTGAACTAATGGCGTCATCGAAGCGACGGGCCCGGAAGGAAGTGGCGGGCTGAGGGGTGTGGCGGTTTCTGCGGTTGCACTGGGGTTCGGACGAGTACGGCGCGCCTGGAGGGACAGCCTGGTACGCGGCCCCCGCCCCTTAGTGAGCGCACTGGGCCTAGCTGCGGCCTCCGCGGAGCTGATCGGCGATTCTCCTCGGCCCCCGCCCCAGCAGCCTTTTCTCCTTCTGGGGCAAGAAAGCAATCCGTCTCTGTCCCGTCCCTTCCCTCAATGACCCAGGCGGGATCGCGCTAAGGCTCTTGGAGCCCCAGCCCCTACTCAGGGCGCTTGGAACGCGTGACCTCTCTGAAGAGGACAGGGAAGGGGCCCGAGGTGGGGCGGGAGTGATCTCGGAAGGGAAGGGCATTTGCAGAAAGGACGTGGCTGCAAATCGGTAGCTGGAGGCCGCCACAGTAAAATAAGCGCCTCGAAGATGTCTGCGCCCGACTTCTATTGGACCCAGGAGGCGGAATGCACGCCCTGCGCGGGTTGGCCCAGGCACGCTTGACTGTGAACTTTGCTGTCAGTTACCCTAGTTTTTGCAGAGCCTTCAGTGTTCAAGAAATGAGTTTGTAGAAGCCAACTGTTTCTCATCCTGGTGCCCGAACGCAGACCCAGGAGTCTAGAGTCTTTGCAGTCTGGGGAACCTCCTTTCTCCCCTAACCATGGGCTTGGGGACCTGTCAGGTGCAAAGTACCAATCGAGTATATGGGAGGGAGTGTGGCTTCAGTCTAATTCAGAGCCCTCTCCCTAATAGGGCCAAAGGAATAACTGGGAAGGTGAGCAGACGGAAGGCCAGAGAATCTCACCTGGGACTCTGCTAGCATGCTGTCTCTGTCGCTCCAGCATCTGAAAGGAGTAAATAATGGTTTCCTTTGAAGTGGCAGGCAATTAGGACTGGGAGGCTCTGACCAGAATTACATGCCACAACTGCCTGTCGTTTGACTTCCCCTGTAATTTGGACCAACATACTGCAGCTGCCTCTCTTCCTTTTACTAGTATGAGTGGCTCCAGTGATGGCACATTCATGTTCACAGAAAGAAAGCTATGTTCTGAACGCTGCCCAATTAGCGTTGATTCCGCCTTGGGTCATGGCTGTATCCAGAACCTGCTTCTTCAATGAGGTGGAGAACAGAATTCCACAGTTAAGGAATGGGACTGTTTACTGAGAGCAAGGATGAAGAGAGTTGTAGATCTAGCCTTGTGTTCATACTACCAACAGGCCGTTATGAGCCACTACAGGGAACTCAGCTTGGTGAGGTACTCTTCTGTCATAGCTTGTCTCCTGCAGGGCAAACCATACACGTTTTCCCATATCTTTTTCCCTAGGATAAAGCTTCACTGATGGCTCAGTTGGGAGCAGTTGTGGCTGTGGCTGCCAGTTTCTTTTGTGCATCTCTCTTCTCAGCTGTGCACAAGATAGAAGAGGGACATATTGGGGTATATTACAGGTAAGGCAGAGACAGGGAGAAGCTTGCAATTTCCTGTTAAACGACTCTTTCCTAGTCACTGTCTAGCAGGTTGTGCTAAATAGCTATGTTTATGTTTTGTTAAATATGGGAGTCTTTTAGATTGTGTTTTTGTGTTAGTTACCGTGGGGAGGGGAGTACATATATGAAGTATGTGTGTATACATATATAAATGTAAATATAAAATTTAGTAGCCTAAGTTGATGCCATTGATAGTGATTTAGAGACAAAACCTAAAGGACACCAAATCATCTCTGAAATGCTTTCTCCTACATCCCTTTGGGCATCTTGGTGCCACAAGGTTACCTCTGAGGAATACCAGTTTTTGATGGCAACTTAATATAGCCTGCTCTGCAAATTTGGACCTACTCTTCAAAATTAACATTTCGGAAAAAATGAAAGAGCTTGCAGATTGATTTGTATCAATCAAGGCAAGCCCTGGAATAGTGGTTCTTACAATAAAGGAGCCTATTATGTCACTGTTTATCTTATTGCTTTTTTTAATGTATCTTTTACTTCAAAATGTAAAGCAAAGAAGCTCTTATAAATCTCGGATTACTTTCCTTTTAGTAAACTCCATAACCAAGTTTTTTGCTTTAAGTCTTTATGACCCCTTCTTACATGTACCCAGTGATGCTTATTTCTGGATTGCTTTCTAGTAAGTTCTGAAAGTCTGGTTGGGTTTTCCTCTCTCCTTTAATTATTTCTCCAAACCATCTGCTTATATGTCCCCCAAAAATGCCTTTAATTTTATTATCATTTACATATAACTTGATTAAAAAGGTAACTTTATTGCCAAAAAAATATTTAAACGACTTATAAAGCGTGCTTTAAATTATTCTTTTGGTCGTTGATGTCACTGGACTGCAACATTAGTGCAATTCATAGATAACTGTGTTCCTGGATTTAACTGCCTAAATGGGTTGCCACAAGCTCAACGGATATAACAAAGTAAAACAGACTTCCTCTCAAGTATAGCCAGGGATTCTGCTCCCTTTATTTCACTTAACTTCTGTGCTGAACTTTTTTTTGCTGCAAAAGCATGAATAATGGTTTTATGTTTTACCATTAGGCTTCCTAGAATATCAGGGTCTAGCCAGGAGGAAGAAAGGGATCTACAGACATGGCTCTGGCACTTGTCACTCTATACTAAACATTTATGGGGCTGAAAGGAAAGTTGGCCCACTCAGTATTAATGTAATAGGTACCTCTTGCTAAAATGAACCTGCTTCTCTCTTCCTCCTCTGCAGAGGTGGTGCCCTGCTGACTTCCACCAGCGGCCCTGGTTTCCATCTCATGCTCCCTTTCATCACATCATATAAGTCTGTGCAGGTATCCTTGGCTTATGTGGTATGGCTGGATGACTGCAGGTTTGGGATGTTGACTAATGCATGATTTGGAATTATTTAGCAATTGGATGAGTATAATGCCTTTTCAAGGAATCATTTAAGAATAAGGGGTGTGTGTGTGTGTGTGTGTGTGTGTGTGTATGCACGCGCGCATGTACGTATGTGTAGAATGAGGCTCTGGGCCATTCACTCTGGAGCTTTACTTGATTGTTGAAATAGTTAAATGGAGCCCTTGCCTTGGCCCATCAGGCTCAGCTGGGAATTATTTCTTCACTTCAAGACAAATCTAGAGAGGAATCTGTTGTGAATGTACAGAAGGAAAAGTAGGGTGTATGTGTCTGTGTGTTTTAAATTGCGGGCTACCAAAATAGATGGAAATAAAACATGGTCATTTTGCTAGTTCTTGTTTGAACTTCAGAGATGTGAACATAATTTTGGGGGTAGGGAAAAGGGAAGTTGAACTTGATGAAGAGAAATTACATATAAAATAGGAGTAGGATTAATTATGACAAAGCTAAAGCCTACCTAGGTTAGACTATCCATCTTTGAAGTATGTCAAATATCCTGGGATTCCTCATCAGCATTTTTCTTATAAATTTCTTCTACCATGTACTCTGCTTTATGGTTCTCAAAGTGCATTCATGCACATTATCTCATTTGAGTTTCACAGTAATCCTGAGAATGAGCTGAGCAGGTCTTATAGGCTGAGATAGGTTAAGTAAAGAATCTGCTATTTCAAGGACAGTAAATAGAAGAGGTCTTAGGACTCCTAGTCCAGGGTCTTTTTCACTGAACCATTATTACCCAGCTAATTCATTTGGTGGTTCACTTACAATGAAGCTGGGTAGGAACTTTGCTTGGTTAGTCTCACATTCTATAAGTCAGGAGGATTCAGCGAAGACAAAGCTCAACCCAAACAGGTATTCAAGGACAAGGCCATTTGGGATTCTAAAAATAAGTTTCTTTGTTCGTCACTGCCCATCTTACAGCATTTTATGTCTCTTATATTTCCAGACCACGCTGCAGACAGATGAGGTGAAGAATGTACCTTGTGGGACTAGGTAAGGTGCCTGGAATAAAGCTATTAAACCCAAATAAGAGGAAGGGCTATCTGGCTGGCTGCAGTAAGAGACAGTGAAAAGATCGGCACCCCTTCTTGATTTTACCAAGTTCCCTGCCCTTTGTTCTGATTCAACTAAGTGGTAGAATGCAGAGAAAAATCACAGAAGGTAGACAGGTTTGAGAGGGCCTTGAATGTCATGATAAGAAGTTTAGGCTTTTTCTGTTAGAAGTGAGGATCCTCTAAAGACTTTTAGCAAATAAATGACTTGATAAAGGAAGATAACTTTAACGTAACTAACTATGGAGAATATCTTAATGGTGGAGGAGGACTTAGGGGCAGGAATTTAAAAGATGACACCACTATAATTGGTCCCGCTGAAAAGTAAAGAAAGTTTCATCTGGGATAGAGTAATAAAGTAAACAACACCTCAGAGAAACTTTCAGACAGATCTCAAATTGGGACATCCCACAGGATAATTGGCCTGATTCTCGGCACAAAGTCGTATTTGGAGGGGCGTTGGGTTGAAAAGGAAACTTAAAAGACATAAACAGATGTAATGGTGAGCCTTGATTAGAACCTGGTCCAAAAATAACAGCTGTAAAAGACATGATGGAACTGTATTAGTCAGCTTGGGCTGCCATAACAATACCACAGACTCGGTGGCTTAAACAACAGGAATTTATTTTCTCACAGTTGTAGAAGCTCAAAGTCCAAGATCGAGGTACTAGCAGGGTTGGTTTCTGGTGAAGCCTCTCTTCCTGGCTGAAAGGTGGCTACCTGGCTGTGTCTTCACAGGGCCTTTCCTCTATACACACGCACAGGAGAACAAGATCTCTGGTGTCCTTTCCTCCTTTCCTTTACCAGTCCAATTGGTTTAGGGCCCCACCCTTATGACCTCATTTAGCCTTAATTACCTCCTCAAAGGCCCTATCTCCAAATATAGTCACTGTGGGGGTTAGAGTTTCAACCTGTGGATCTTGGAGGACACATAATTCAGTTCATAATAAGAATCATTGTGGAAATTTGAATGATTGGATATTAGATAATATTAAGGAATTATTGTTGATTTTCTTAGGTTTGGAAATGGTTTTGGGACTGTGTAAGAGAATGTCGTTATTCTTGGGTGATGTTTGCTAAAATGTTAAGGGGTAAAGTATCATGACTATAACTTTGAAATGTTCAGCAAAAAAAGTAGATCAGTCAATAAGGTAAAATGTGAACAGTTGTTAAATTTCAGCAGTGGCATATGAGTGTTCTGCTAGTCTTTCAACTTTTCTGTATGTTTCAAATTTTTTTTAAATGACTAGGGGAACAGGGAAGTGCTGAACTATGCTGAACTGTTATGAACAGGGAAGTGAGAAACGGTGACCATAAAATTCCAGTGACCTTTTAAGTTCTGAGAACTCCTCAACTTTATTTAGTCTTTTCCTTTCAATTGGTTGCTTTAATCAAAAGGCATTTTAGATTCAAAAGATATGAACTACTCTTTTCTCACTGGCATCTCAAAAGTTTCACTTTTTTCTTGGCGGAATTATTTTTAGGAAGTGTGCCTCCTCGGGAGTGTATTCTTGCTATAAGCTCTGAAGATCTACTTGGAGATCTGATATGCCTTCTGAGCTCCTGTGAACTGTTTTCCTTTTCTGCTAAGTCACACATCTTATTCCATTACCTAGGAGACTGCACTATTCCAGAGCTTATTAATGAGTTGTTTGTCCATTCTTCCTCTAATAGCGGTGGTGTGATGATCTACTTTGACAGAATTGAAGTGGTCAACTTCCTGGTCCCAAACGCAGGTACGTTTTTCTAGTTTACCCTGGAAGTACCTAGCATACTTTCCCCAGCATGCCACCCCAGTGTCTGCTGCAGCACCTCAGGAAAGGAAAACTACCGTCTGAGGAAGTTTTGAGTCCTTCTTTTTCCTATTCTGAAATTTCTCCTTCCCTCCCAGTGTACGATATAGTGAAGAACTATACTGCTGACTATGACAAGGCTCTCATCTTCAACAAGATCCACCATGAACTGAACCAGTTCTGCAGTGTGCATACGCTTCAAGAGGTCTACATAGAGCTCTTTGGTAAGAAAGCCTCTTCTGGTCATAGCCTGCCTTAGCAGCCCTGCTCCTTTGCACTGCCTGCTTCTGAGATACCCACAGAGTAGGATGGGTACTGATAGACAGGAGGTGTTAAAGAAGCCAGTGCTCACAAAGGGCATTCCTAGAAAATGCTGATGACAGTGGAAGGTCATGAGAGTAGTTGACCTTTGGGCACAGGAGTGACAGTGGACTACAGTACTCACTTCTGGCCTGACTCAGAGGACCAGAATGGAAATGTGTTTCCATGGTCCCTAAAACATCATTCTGTACTGAAGATAGCCTCAGTTCTAAAAGAGCCTTAGAGATCATCCAGCCCAACGTCTTCATTTTAAGATAAGAGTACTGAGGTGCAAAGAGAAAAAGTCATAGAGATATTTGTAGTAGCTAAAGCTAGAATTTCCCTCTCCTGGCTCTCACTTTGCATACTTCCCACCACATCACACTGAATGAAGGGCACCCAAGAGAGTGATGAGAATGGTACGTCACATTTAATTCTAGAACCGAGACCAGGAACATAGCTACTTACAGTTCCTAGGACCTTTATGTTTTTTTGTTTGTTGTTTGTTTATTTGTTTACCCTATACCTATAGAAATGAATAGGAAAAAGCTTAAAACAAAAAGGATCCACGTGCTTAAGTAGACACTTCTCATCTTGTTTACCTGGTCAAAGTAAACATAGCCTAACTTCAGCAGCAAAAGAAACATTTCAGCAATGTTACAGTTCTTTTGTGGTAGAATATTCTTATTTAAACTTTCTGCTAGAAGTTTTCTAGTAGCCAGTGCTAAAAGTAAATAGATTTTTCAACCCATAGCATAAGTGTTCTTGATACTAGGACTAGATAGTGATATTTCCCAGGTATCTTCATAAAAAAACCCTGAGTGAGAACATTTTTTCAAGTAGACAGGAGGAATCATTGACATTACACGTGATCTTAATTAAGCAAACAACCTCTGCACCATGTTTCAGATTTGGGGAATTGTCAGAATCACTTTTAATTTTTCTGCTGTAGAAAATGAATCTAAATTCACTCTATAGGATTTAGATTTATTTTACTGGGTTTGGGTTCAGTGTGCTTTTAAGAAAATTTTTATAAATTTTCTATTTTTTTTACCTCAAACTGATAGAATTTTATAAAATATTAGTTTTCTCTCTAGCCATTGTTTTAGAACTTGTGCCATTGAATGAACATTTCAACACATTTGAAACAACAAAAGACAAAAGATCTCTAATTTCCATGAAGAGAAAATTAAAAGGTGAAATTGTTTTGCATTAGAAAACTTCTTACTGTCTTAAAGATAAACTTGATAGCTTAGTAAATTATAGCTTCTTGTACAGAGTAGCTGGGAAAATGTATTTGTCTGAAATTTTTTCCTTTTTAAAGTTCATTCTTGCCAGCAAGCACTGTTTTGCTTAGAAGGTATTTGCCTCCGTAAAGGAGAAACTTGTCTCTAATCCTATTTCTAAAATGTCAAAGGTTTTTCTCTAGTTACCTTCCCCTGAGGATTCCTAGCCCTGACTTTCAACATAACTGCATAATTCTCATCACTGCTTATTCTGATGCATCCTCTTTGCACATTTTATAAAAATATTATCTAATACTTGTTCAGAAGTTCACCTGAAGAACCTTTTTGTGTATACTTAGTGATACAACTTAATCAGCATTGAGCAGCATAACTGTAACATATAAACAGCTTATTGCCAGTATTCCTTTGGTGAGAAACTACTTTGTAAAATATTTCTTCCAGATTTTCCTGGAAAGTTATTAGCCTAGGGCCACAGGTTTCTACCTTGAGTCAGATATAATTTGGTCTAATAAATGACTGTGTTATTATGAACTCAAGGTGAGTACAAGCCATCTTACTTAAAGTTTGGTGAGTTTCTTATTTAAAATAGAAAATATGAAATATGATGTTTATCTCTAGTTGTCAAATTGTTAGGCCCATACCAAGTGTGAGGCACTGCCTTTATGGGCATTTCTCCCTCACTGCTGAGAAGCTTTTGAGAGTATATCCAGTATATGGAACCATTAAAATCCCTTGCTTAATGATATGACAGTTGAAGAAAACACTGTTTTATACCCTAACCATCAAAGCATAATAATTAAGTAAGTTCATTGTTTTAGTTATTAACTAGCCTGAGCACATCTCTGAAATGACATGGGCAGCACCAGTTTGAGCATCTATAAAGACAGGAGTTATACTTGCTGTTTCTCAGAGGCTCCCGTTTGGGCACAGGTGACCAAGAATGGCCACTTATAGCAGATGGCAGCTGACAATAGGGAGGTGATTTAAGTTTACCTGTCCCGGCCTGGTTTCGTGGATTCTTTTTCTTCGTGTCCTTTTAGGATCTTAATGATGATCTCATGGGCAAGAGGCAGGGAAGAGAAGGCCCAGGCCAGAGAAGGCAGCCTGGTGCTGCTGTCCTGGGATCACAGCTGGAAGGGAGGTCAGTTATAGCTCTTCCTACACTTGACTGTGAAACAGCTCGTATGTGCTTTCCAGACAAAGGAATCAGGACCAAAGCAAACAACACATCAAAAGACTTGGGCTCGTTTCCAGAACTGTAAATTTTTATTTTTCCCTTGTGTTATTTGATGGAGTTCCTAATGGAAATAGCCTTCCTTGGGGCTTTTCTTGACGTCAGAATCTGTTGCTCTTTTAGAAACTTCTAAAATTACTAGATTTAATGTGCTCGGCTCTTTTCAAAATACCTAACATAGCCATTCTACCTTCCTTCTTCATGAAAACTGCATTCTTGCCTTCTGTTTTGCTCCTGCTGTCTGGGAAAAAGCTGCCGCCTGACTCAAGAAATATGCTAGAATTGTTGTTTGTTCTTTTTTTAAAAAAACTCAATTCCCTTTTGGGAAAGGTTGATATTTTCAACAACCTAGGTGATTCTATCTTGAGGACCCAGGAAAAGAATACTCTCACATCTAGCCTATGTAAAGGGACTGTGTAGCCATGTTGCTCCAAAAGTCTTGCTGGCGATCTTTAGATTTTCGGGCTATGGTAAGCACTTTACTTTGGGAAGACCTTTGCCTGTCATTCCTGAGTTGATGTTTTAGTTTGTACTCTGCCCCCTGTACTTCCATCAACCTTGCCTAGAAAGCGTGACAACTCCTTTTCCTGTCTTTCTTGATTCCAGATCAGATTGATGAAAATCTCAAACTGGCTTTGCAACAGGACCTGACCTCCATGGCCCCTGGGCTTGTCATCCAAGTAAGCATTGCCACCATGGGAGCGTCCCCTGATGAAAGTGCATCCCCAGTGGGAGCTGCTTAGGTTCCTCACCGCCCTCACCTTCCCATCAGGTGCTATTTTTATCCTCCAGGCTGTGCGAGTGACAAAGCCCAATATACCTGAGGCGATCCGCAGAAATTACGAGTTGATGTGAGTATATCCTCTGCCTAAGCTATCACCACCACTCTCTCCCACTTCCCATTTCATCACATCTCAGAGTTAACTGAAGTCGTGCCAGGCTTTTATTCCCCTTCTTGAGTATTTGTCATAGCCCATTAAACTGTAGGATGAAGCAGGCATGTCAGGACAATCATCTGGGCCCTATAACTATGATTGAGAACCACAGAGCAGCCCTTTTGAGCAGTGATGCTTTTAAAGGGGCCAGGGGGCCTTGTTTGTGCTTCATGGCTCATACCAAAGAAGATAGGAGGGAAATAGGATTAAGTAGGCAGGCAGGTGTATTTTACTAAAATAAATTATGCTTTAGTTCCCACAAATGAGTTATTTTGGAGAAGGAGAGCCATGTTATTGTCAGCAACAGATCTGCTTTTACCTGGGACATGGAATGGCCTAGGAGAGAGTAAGAAATCAGAGTTTGCCTCTCCTCAGCAGGAGAGTTTGGCTTCTCCAGAGGACAGTGAAGTTTCTCTGAAGTTTTTCCACAGTGGCCTCACAACTGCATACTTTTCTCCCCTTCAGGGAAAGCGAGAAGACAAAGCTTCTCATTGCAGCCCAGAAACAAAAGGTGGTGGAGAAGGAAGCTGAGACAGAACGGAAGAAGGCCCTCATTGGTCGGAATGGGGTTCTGTGATCCCCTTTCAGGGCAGAAGGGCTGGGATGGTGGGAAGATTCGAGGAAGCCTCAGGCACTGTTAGACCACATGGTTCTCCAAACCCTTTCCACATATAGGGTTAACAGTCATACTCCCGGAAGCAAAGCTGAACAGCGCATATTTCTTTCCTAAATACATTGTCAGATCATGATCAAGGGCAATGAGTTTTGAGTTTCCACATATCTCTTAAATGAAAGGAGCCTTTCCTGTTAATTCTTAATTCATAATGATAATGGCTAATACTTACTGAGCACTTACTATGAGCCATGTACTTTTCTAAGTACTCATATGTGAATTCTCTCACTCCTCACAACCAGGTGAGGGAAGCACTATCGTTAACCTCACTTTACTGAGCCGAAGCACAGAGGTTAAATAACATGTCCAAAGTCATATATGGCAAGTAAGTGGTGGAATTGGAATTCAAATATAGGGACTCTGCCCCAGAACCTTGGTTCTTAACCACTACACTATCCTATTAACAAACCTGACTGCTTCCTTAACTAAAGTGGCAGGAGGAAACTTTTTAGAGGATATCTTACTCCTTAAATATTCTTTTGAAAGAAATATCCTGTGATTTAGGAGAGAGGTTAGGGCCTATTCCTTGCTTTCATTGGAGAAATGATTCATTTCCTTTGGGCCTACATCTCCCCAGTTATTATCTCGTGCTGACATCGTTGTTTGTGCTCAGTGGTACACTTCATCTCTGCCCGTGTATGCCGGTCAGGGCTGCCCTCTGGGGCCAGTGGCTCTCTGAGCTTACCCACGCTCATGCATCAGGAACTCAGATCAGGTGAAAGGGGAAATTGAATCAAACTTTTGAAATATCAGAGCTCTAAGCCTTTTTTCAACTTCAATAACATAGAGGCAGAAAAAGTGGCTCAGGTTGCAGAAATCACCTATGGACAGAAAGTGATGGAGAAGGAGACCGAAAAGAAGATTTCAGAAATTGAAGGTGAGCAGAAGTGAAATTAATGCCCGAGTTTTCCTCAGACCCCACCTCGTAGCAAGCGGGTGGGACAGTCCCTTCCTTTGCTTTTAATTCTCTGTCATGATTTCTTTGGAATATCACTTTTTCTCATGCTTTGACTTTGGGACAGGCATGGGTCAGGCTAGCATCAGTTTTCCACTTCAGGGAGCATTCATTTTTTCAACAAATGTTAGTTGCGTGCCATCAGACACTCTTATGTTAGGTGTCAGAAAAGAGAAAATCATACGGTCCCTGCATCCTGGAGTTCAATATCTGGCATTGGAAATAAACTAGGACGCCAGGCCAAACAGCAGCCCCTTCCCTCATGCCCTACCTGCTCCTCAGAAGTCAGTAAACACCATAGCTCTGAGCCCTGAGTCTGCTCCCACAGTCCCTGTAGCTATTAAGCTAGGTATGAAGAAAATGCCTTTTCAGCACCAACAACACTGGAGCTGGAGAGAAGTGTTCCTTTGCTGGCTCCTCTGAATATTATTTACCTTCAGTTCCCTGCCCCTCAGCTGTCACCTCATTCCCACCACCCACCTTTTTCTTCATGTGATGCTTTATATCAAGCAAATTCTAGGACAAAAATGGGACATCAAGGCCCAGCTTCAGGTTACAAAGTGCTGTGTCCAATTGTATTCACTATGGGGCCTGTTGGGCTTTTCAGGGGCCCAGTGAGATCAGCAGCTCCTCATTAGGGAGCTCTTAGCAAAACAACACATATTTATTTCTTATTAATACATGTCATCAGGTGCTGAGACCAGTTAAGTCAGCCGCATGCAGCCAGAATCCCAGTCACACTACAGGCTCCTTCCACCCAGGGTCATGCTGAGGGAGTGCAGTAAGAACCAACCCGACAGACCTTTCTTCATAGGCTTTTTGCTACAAATATTACTCACATGATGCTGGCCTCATTCCCAAGGCAAGGAAGTAAATATCAAAAATTTCTCATCAGCTTGACAGAAAGTTAGTCTCAGTGGAGTGTGAAAGTATATTGCTTGCATAGTAGAAGTTTAAATAGGTCTTAATCCAAACAGGTGTTAATCTGGACCATGGCTTGTAATTCTTAGAGTTGTGCCAGTGTAACAACTGTTAATTTGAACCTTTTTGAAATGATTGATGGACATAAAAGGGAAATAAAGTTGGAGAGGGACTGAACTATTGTTTATGGCAGGGGCCCCCAGGCTGCAGACTGGTACCAGTCCATAGTCAGTTAGGAACCGGGCTGCACAACAAGAGGTGAGCAACAGTGGGCAAGCAAGCGAAGCTTCATCTGCATTTGCAGCTGCTCCCCAGCACTAGCATCACCACCTCAGCTCCACCTCAGATCATCAGGCATTAGATTCTCATTGGAGCACCAGTCTCTGCCAAAATGATTGGGGACCACTGGTTTATGGTGTTCAGTTTTAGGGTAGATCCGCCTCTGGCTGTATTCAGAACCTCCTTTGGGCATCTCTCGCTTTTGCTGTGTAGCACAGGAGGGGTGAGGTGGAAAGCTCTGAGACTAGAGGTTTAGGTGGAGTCCCTTCCCCGTCCTGGAGCTACACACAGAGTGACAGGTGTGTAGAAACAAGACGTGTCTCTGGGCAGCAGTGCTTTTCTCAGTAATGCTGTCAGAGATGTTAGGCACAGCAACAGACTTGCTCATAACTAGTCCCCACCACAGGGAGATGCTATCAAAGCACTTTTTCATCCCGGTTCAGTGTCACAACTGGTGAAATAGGAAAAAAAAATGCCTTTTTCCCCATTTCCCAGAGGAGGGAACCAAAGGACAGAGTAAAAAGAACAATCTCCTCTAGGTCACAGAGGCAATTGGGGAAAGTTACAGGGACCAGACCCAGTGTTCTGGTAGCCTCTGCAGTTCACTTCACTGCATTCTCTCCCGCAGATGCTGCATTTCTAGCCCGGGAGAAGGCAAAAGCTGATGCTGAGTGCTATACTGCTATGAAAATTGCTGAAGCAAATAAGGTAAAGGCCCAGTGCCTTCTGGCGAAGAGAAGATATATTTGGTTATAAGCTGATGGTGTTTGAGTTCCGGGTGTTGGATGACCACCAATACCCAAAGGCCCTTGTGGCCAGAAGTGATGACTCCTGTGCTGTATCGGACAGGTACTTCCCTTTTCCTTAGCAGTGCCTTGATAGAAATGTAATTTTTGTGCTGAACATGAAAATTCCTAAAACTATTGCAGCTCCAGCCTTAAAGATCTGAGATTAGTTTCTCTTAGTGAAGTGGTTACCCTGTTACTAATGTAACAGTGAGACCAGGAAAAAGTAGAGAGGGCATATATGTCTTTGACAGAGACCCTCTCCTTATGAGAACCAAAAGGGTGCCACCCAAAGTTTTCTCAATCTGGTTCTACCTAAGTCTTCTTTACTTATTTTTTTTAACAGCTGAAGCTGACCCCTGAATATCTGCAGCTTATGAAGTTCAAGGCCATTGCTTCCAACAGCAAGATTTACTTTGGCAAAGACATCCCTAACATGTTCGTGGACTCTGCAGGCAATCTGGGCAAGCAGTTTGAGGGGCTAGCTGACAAGCTGAGTTTTGGCTTAGAAGATGAGGCCTTGGAGGCAGACACTGAGGAGAATTGAAAAAAAAATTTATGCCACCTCAGATGACACATAAAGAGATCTTTATTTTTTAATGATGAACTAGGATGACCCTCCCTCCTACACTACCTTCTTTAACTCTCTTCCATGTACTGTGGTGCAAAAAGAAGAAATGGACTTGAATCTATTCCCCTGGGAAGGGAGGGCAGGGATTGATGATTTGGAGTTTTATTCAGGTAAGTAGGTTATATGACTTCTGTTGAGATTTGTAAACCATAGGGTTGAGCTTTGACCTCCAGATATTAATTTTTGACCTTCGAAGCTGGCTTAATTAGGGATGCTGTCATTGAGGAGTGGGAGAAATAGAGGGTGTTGCCTGTAGGTGATTCGACTTCCCTTATTTGAGAAAATGCAGTCCAGTTTTCTCACCCTGCCTCTGAGGTGGGAGATGCCTGTGGGCAAGGCTCACAACTGAGCAAATTTGTGCTTGTAAGTTTGCCAGGAGCTGTGGGGAAACAGCTGCAGTGTGTTTGGCTTTCCTGGCGTTTTTGTCAGCGCATACATTGTTACTTTAGAGGAGCACTTCCTGAGCCCTCGTAAGGCAGAACTGGTGCTAGGTTTTGCAAGCTTTTCTATACACTACCCTCCTTGCCCTGGGCTTAAAGTGGTGATTCTGACTACATTGCCAGAGTCAGGGTTTGGTCACCACCACACAATTCTTTTTAAAACTTTTCACCTATTCTATGATTTGTTTTTGTTTTTTCCTTTCAATCTGTCCATTGGCTCCAGTCAGCCTTAAGAAGATGGGAACAAACAACTCAAGTGTCTTAATAGCTGCTGAAGTGGGAACATTATGTCTGTTAGCCACTCTGGTACTTGCTTGGCAAACGCTATATGTTCCTTGAGATCAAGTGTCTTTTTATTGCTGTGGAGATTCTACATTGACGAGCTCTTCTGGAAAAGAAAGGAGGGCCATCCAAAAGGTTTCCTAGTCTAATGCCTGTGGCTTGTGCTGGGAGTATGAACATCACAGTGATAAAATGGAGCCCCTTCTCTAAGTAGCACGTGTATTTAATTCCAGGGCTCCAGGCAGCCACATGACGATCAGAGTGATTGTTCAGTCTCCAGAGACGGCTGTGTAGCTATAGGTCAGAGTGAATGTCCCAAGTCCTGGGTTGGAAAGACTGCACCAAAATCTGTTCAAATGTTTTCTTTTTCATTTCTAATTAAAAGTTTGAGTCACTCTGGGAGATTTGGGATGGGGGAGACCAAACATCAAAGAAAGGTTTTCTTATATCCTGGAACTGGAGTCATGGGTGGGGCGGGCATCCAGTCTGTATAGCCCATGAGTTGTGTACCAAATTAAGTGGAGGGCAGCTATCCAGAGTTAAGTTAACTTGCAAGCATGTTAGTATTCTCCATGACAAGCTCTGGCTTAGAATTTGGCCTTGTTATTAGCTGTCTCCTAACTACCACCACCACCACCACGCCGCCTCTACCTACAAAAAAAAAAAACCTCCCACTGTACCCCTCTTCCCTCAGTGAAACTGTGAATGCTGCTTTCTGGCACAGATTCTCCACCTCATTTTTGGTCCCATGCCCAGACTTCTGGTTCATCAAATGGCCCCAGAACTCAGGCCAGCTTGCTCCTAAGTAGCAAGTTTGGATAGCATTCAGCCTGCCTAGGAAGAAACAAAGTGTTAACTCCTCTTAATTCAGATGTTACCCTTCTTTGTTCTAAATCTTGGGACTAGAGTTTTGAAACCACTGGTCTTGATCACACTTTGTGTAGGCAGCCAAATGTTCCTGGGAGTGATGGCTTTGTATATGCTCAGGAGTCCTCGCAGAAGGCAATCTCCCAAGACCAACATAGGATATCCATTATTAATATATACTCGCCTTCCTCTCATTTCAATGCCATTGATCACTTGTTAGAAGCAACATGTCCAGCATCCCTGATTTACATATGTGTCTGCTCCCTTTACTCTGAGACTTGTTAAGTAGGCCTCAGAAAACACTACTCTACTGAGGTAGAATAAGAAGCAAGGATAACTCAGTCTCCGAATAGCACGTTTGCTCAGGTTCTTACCCTGAAAGTCTCTCTAATACTAACATCCTATGATAGCTTATCGCTTGCACTAGATACTCTTTGACCACAGAAGAGCCTTAGTGAAGTCCTGCACCTGCCTCCTCAATGTTAACGTTGCTTCCTCTTTAAACAAAAAACAAATGTTGTAGTACCCATTTGTTTAAATCCAATGGTTGTACCTGCCTGAATAGTAAGATCATGAAAGTCAGCTGTTTCCTTAGCATGGGAAAACTAACCAATCTGTTTGTGTGGCTTTGTTTCTTTAACACTAGAAAATCTGATCTTAACATTTGAATTCTAAACTTGTGAAATGTGACAGCCTGCAATTTTGTAGGCAGTAAAATCACGGCTGCTATTTATAAATGGAACTTCTCTCAAAATAAGTAACTGTTTATAAAATAGTTTTTTAGGATTTTCCAAGGAAAAGTCATCTTGGTTGAATGTTTCTCACTCATTAAACTTTGCAGAAGTGATGTATATTCAGTACAGTTTTTAATTACTTTTTATATAAGGACAGAATATTTGCAAGGAAGCATTTGTTAATAATTTTTATATGACTAATATTAATTTGGAGGGATCTATAATCATATTAAGTTGAAGGAGGAAAAAAATCACTGAAGGAATTTTAGCAATACAGCAGGTCCTCAAATAACATCATTTCATACAGCATAATTTCATTATAACGATGAGACAGTAAGAACTTAACTCTTGTTTATATCAATTAGCCTATGGTAAAATTGGTTTCATTTTGTGCAGTTTCACTTAAAGTCAAAGAACCTATTGACGATGTTGAGGACTTACTGTACATTGATCCAAAAAAAGTAGATGTTTTATAAATGATCTGTTGCAATTTCTGTGGGTCTGTCTTTCAACACTGGTAAGTGTACCATTTATAGAATAAATACTGAAAATAAGATTGTCATATTTACTGACTTACCTATTAAGTTTGAAGATAAAATGTACAGATGCTCTTCAGCATACAATGGGGTTCTGTCCCAATACATCCATCATAAGTTGAAAGTATCATTAAGTTGAAAATGTATTTAATACACCTAACCCAACCTACTGATCATTCATTATAGCTTAGCCTAGCCTACCTTATACATGCTCAGAACACTTACAGTAGCCTACAGTTGGGCAAAATCATCTAACACAAAGCCTGTTTTATAATAAAGTGTTGAATGTCTTAATGTAATTTATTACGCGTATTGCTTTTACACCATTGTAAAGTCAAAAAATCATAAGTCGGGGATCATGGCTAGTAGCTACTCTGTGTATATGAACTTAAGTACTTTAGTTCTATTCAGTGTCTAGCCACTGTTTCTATTGTTTCCTTATAAAAGAGGTAATAGCCAATCACTTTGTGTTTGTATTTCATTTCTGCTTTTGTGTAAGCTGGTGATAGAATAATCAAATTAATTCTACTTCTTAAGAGCCCTGAGGGCTTAATGACCCTCTTTGTAACTGAGAAATGATTCTTGATATATTAATCTATAGATAAATGATATACTGGATTAATTGCCTTGGGTTGATAGCTGGAGGAATTGTTTTGGACAACACTAAAGGTGTGAATTTATGTCTTAATTTTATTTTTAGTCTTGCTAAATAAAATGTCTTTGTATTTACTTTTATTAAAGTAAATTTAGCAATAGCTAATATTAGAATAGGTAATATAAAGAAATAAAACATCCCTGCCCAGGAAATTGAGTATAAAATCACCCAAAAAATATATTTGGATGAATATGTATCCCCATTATCAATGTAGAAACACTAAACAACTAATTTGTGAACATGGCATAATTCTTGGTAGGTGCTATAAAGATTTATCATTTTAAAGAATCCATACACCACTGCATTTCTGCTCTAGAAGGCAGAGGTAATCTTCAGTTGACCCAAAACTCATTATGATATCAATTCAATGAGAAAGTCTCAGTCTCTACTTTGAAAAAAATGCCCAGCCTACAATTCCTAAATAAAATACAGGATGCCCAGTTAAATTTAATTTCATATAAACAATGAATAATTTTAGCATAAGTATCTTCCAAATATTGCAAAAGACATACTTGTACAAAAAAAGTTATTTATTGTTTATATGAAATTAACATTTAACTGAATATCCTGTATTTTCATTTGCTTAATCCGGCAACCATAGCCTCGGATTTCTGAAGTGTTTTAATGGTGCTCCCAAACTTTCTCTATTGGTTTGAGGACCTACTACACCAATAATATGGACTTACAATTAAATAGGCAAGTTAAAAATGTAGATACTGGAGTTAGACTGCCAAGATTCAAATCTCTTCTCTTACACTTCCAAGGTATTAGGTCTTGAATAACTTATTTAACCTCTCTGGGCCTCAGTTTCTTCGTCTGTAAAATGGGTCAAGCGGATTAAATGAAATAATGCACATTAAGGGGTTAGCACCATGCCTAGCATGTATGTGTTCAAGAATAATTTATTTTCAATTATCTAGAAAAACAGGCTAGAAAGTACACAACTATTAAGTGGGTACCACTAAGTGGAAAATCAGACAGATGTGATAACAATAAGATTACAGATAGGGTAGCACACAGAGGAAGAAGGGAACGACGTTGCAATGCAGCAAACGTTGCAGTGCGGCATAGCTCTACAGAAACAGCATGTAGAAAATAAGCTGGTTTGCCCCTGTTGAGTCCGAATTGCTAAGTTCTGGGCTCTAATTAGGAAAAGAGTTGAAAAAGCTAGAGAGAAAACAAAATGTTAAAACCAAAAGAAAAATAGTTTAAAAAATAAAGCTCATGGGTCTACCCCAGAAAAGGCAGAAGGGAATTTTAACAACCTTACACTTATAAAAGTTACATAATGGTTGGCTAGGTATTTTCTAGCTCCTCAGAGACCAAAGTAGAGGAAATTAGCTTGCAGAATACAGTATTTTTAAAGATTTTACTTAAGACTGGCCAAAATTTGAAATGGGGAAAAGTGGTTATCTGCAAATAGAAAATAAATAAATTCAAGGATTAGCATAGACAACATTTTTTTCTTTGATGGTCTTCAGAAACTGAGGAGATTCTATGCTGTTTGGGGTAGTTTAAATGTTATTCTTTCTATATGAAAGATCAAATGATCTCTAAAGGTCCTCTCCAGGTCTAGGGTTCTAGAATCCATATTGACATTTCAAAAGCCAAATGTGACAGCATGTTTGCAGAAGGATTGCTGTCATGGCTACTCTAGTTGAATTCATTTAAACTGGGACATAGGCACTATTTCTCCATTTCTCTTCAGAGCCAAGTAACCAGGCAACAGTAATTTTCTATTTTATCTTTTTTTTATTCCCCAAAAAGGATCACAGTAAGCTCAGAAGGAAACAATTTTAAAATCCATAAATGTTTTTCTCATAATTCAGGGCCTTATACTATACTACAGGGTGAATGTTTTAAAAGCTTGACAGCATTTATGGTGAATAAGTATATTAGGTTTTAGATTTATAAAATCTGTTCCTCTGGATATTTGGCTTTTAATCTTTCTCTTTTCTCTGTTGTCCTTGCAAGCTATTGGAGAAATTTAAAGACAATTACTGGTGATGAAGTGATTTTGGACTTGCATTTTTTCAAGGATTAGGTAATAAGGAAGGATGAAAGGTCAAATTAGATGGTTGATGTCCCAGAAAGAAAAAGAGAAGAAAGTAAAAAAGAAAATGAGAAAAAAGCAGAATGACGTCGATTCTAAAGCACAGCTAAGAAGAAATTGGAAAATGTGAAATGAAAATGGGACTGTAGTCACCATGATCTTTTTGTCCTTATTTCCATTCTCATAAGAGTCATAGAATGTTAGAGATAAAAAGCGTCTCAGAAATGAATCCACTCATCCAAATTCATGTCTTACTCATCTTGGTCTCCCCCAAGGTACCTTTACAGAGGAATGCCTTAATAAATGTTGACTAAATGGATAACTGTGGGGCAGGAGGACTCAATTCATTGAACACTTGTACCTGTTTGGGGGGAGCACTCTTCTAAGTGTGTTATACAATATCTTGATCTTTACTGCAAGCTCTGAAGAAGATATTGACTCTATTTTATAAATGAAAAACAGAAGTTTGGTTACTTATCCAAGATCACAGTTTAATGATGAAACCAGGATTCAACTTGTGTCACTCCTGTGCCACCTCTACCCAATCTTGCCAGCACTACCATAATTGGTTTGAAATTTTAAATCATTCTTCCAAGACCCTTCTGGGAGCCACACACACATATATGCCATGATATATGCCAGGTAGGGAGCTGACTATAACTCAAAGAGACCCGACCTATTAAAGGAAGATACACCTACTTGTTGTCATACTCGCCTATCACCTGGATTACATATCCTTTAGATCTATGAAGTATTGATAGTTTAAATGTTTTCCAAATAGCCCATCACTTTGTTTCATACTCACCCAATACTTCCTATAGACATCCCTGCACCATGATCCCCATTGCTGTAACCTCCTTGTTCCTCTCACCACTGACTGATGGCTAGCACCTTCCAACTTTGTATCGCTATAGCAAACATCTATTCATACTGTGAAGGGCCATTCTAGTCATTTTTTAATTTTTATCACTTTGGCAGGAATAGAAATTATCAAGTCCAGAGGCGTTTGAACACAATTACTTCTAATGTCTATGACAACCCTAGTCTACAGATAACCAGTTATGTGTACCTGCTAAATGAAGACTTCCCAAAAAGAAGTCCTTGATGACATTCTGCTCAAAGTGATTTTGTTGGAGTAGAACACATGAAATTCCATCTCAGGCCCTGGAGTCTGGAAAGACAATGAAGAAGAAAGTTTACCTTTGCTTTCCAGTTACTCCTCAAGACAACCTGGAGAATAAACTGTAGCCCTTTCTCCAACATAATAGCATCCTACTTTATTAAGTTGAATTAATGTTTAAGAATCAACAGTAGAGCCAAAAGTCCTTTCCTTAATAAGACTGATCTCTACCTGCCCACAGCACCTACTACTTCACCACCTGAAAAATGCAGTATTTTACTGTATTAGTCTCTACTGTCTGGCTCTACATGACGTTTATGACCTTCATTTTGCCCAGAGCTGAACAAGAGAAGACTCGAGAATTGGACTGAATATGCGCTGAGCTCATGCTAGACTAAAGCTTCCTGTGCGCTCCTACAAGGTAGCACTAATCACAGGTGGCTACTGACTGCTTGAAGTATGGATAGCCAGAACTGAGACATGTTGTAAATCAAAACTACGTTGGATTTTGGAAACTAAGTAGGATTAAAAGAAATTAAAATATCTCATTTGAAGTTTTTCTAATGGTTACATGTTGACATCTTATTTTGGATATATTGAGTTTAGTAAAATGTATCCTTAAAGTTTTTACTTTGTGCCTGTTCGAAATTTTAAAATTACATATATGGACCACATATTTCTATTGGACGGCAGTGGTCTAAAGGATGACAAGATGAAAATAACCATACATTGGAATAATGCTGGGTCTTTTGTATCTCTTAACGGTTCATCTCAAGAATATCTGATCTACTAAAGTGATGTCCCTGGCTCTAGCGGGTTCTAATCCTGGTACCTGCGCACGTACAGAAATCTTGGTTGATAGTTCTTTGAAAGCCAGGACTAGGACCCCAAGAACAGGCTGCGTTTTTGCGTCAGGAAAATCCCCACTGCGGCGGCTCCATGAGGGCCCTGCATCCTCGCCCCTGCGCCCAGCGATCCGCCAGGAAGTCCATGGCGACCTCCCCAAGATGGCCGCCGCCAAAGGGCGGGGCCGTCCGCTAGCCCGCCTTCGCCCCGCCCCCGCTCTGCCCGGTGTCGATTGGGTGAGACGATTCGGTACTGAGCACCGATTGGGCCATACGGAGACGTGAGGTGGGCGGGACCGGAAGGTGGTCTCAGGCCGGGGGTGCTAGAATCTGGGGCTCAACGTTGGTCTCTTGGGAATGTGGAGAGCTGGCAGCATGTCGGCGGAGCTGGGAGTCGCGTTCGCTCTGCTGGCAGTGAACGAGCGCGTGCAGCAGGCGGTGGCACGGCGGCCGCGGGTGAGGAAGGGCACGGCATGGCGGCTGCTTTGAGGAAGGGGACACTTGCGTGGGAATAGGTCGTCACGGTGACGCAGAGGGCTATCCTGGAGGGGCGGGACCAGTCCGCCGCCTTGGCATTAGCACGGGTTGCAGAGCCCCCAAGAGGTAGCTAAGGGTTTTCCTAGTGACCTCAGATGTATCAGGCAGGTTTTCTGGAGGTTGGCTTAGTTGGAGCAGAAGGTATCCGCTACCCCGGGAAATGACTAGTCTCCAGGCATCGCGTCCTTTTGCCCATCCCGCTTCGTGTAAGGATCAACAACGCCAGCGGGCGGGGGAAGGACGAGGCCTGTGCCAGCAGCTGTAGGAGAAAATTTCCACTACAAGAGCACCCGAAAGGAGGCCAGATCCGCCTGAGATCACGTGTGTGGCAGCGTCTAACAGCTACAAGATTCTCAGTAGATGTCAGTTCCACGCGTAGGCAACGGAGGGAGTAAATCGGCTGGACTTTTGGAGCACCTGAGCTGCACTTGCTCAGTTGGGGCAAGAGGCAACTGATATTTAATTTCCTTAAGAGGAGACTTTTTTCCTTATAGGTATTTCATTTCCTCTTGAAATTTTATCAGACCAAGGGTTAATATCTGCCCCCACCCAGCCACCCAGTGCAAGTTTAAGCTGAATGGTATGGAGACACGTTCGTACAGAGAGGTCAAAGAGTTCTCTGATCAAATATCTGTGGTGTCAGAAATCAGAATATTGGCCTGGAGATAGAAGACTTGTATTAGTATAGTCTTTCTTTGGCTACTAGTTAGATGTTACCTTGAACAAGTCACTTAACTACTCTGGCCCTGAGTTTCCTCATCTACATAGGCAAGAGAATGAGAGCTCTGATTGCTCTGATTCACTCCTAGAGTGAATGTTCTATGATTCTCAATGATTCTCTGAGAAGAAACTAGGGATTTCCCTAATAAACATCACACTGAGAAGTTTTCCCAACATAACTCTCAGTTACATTTGCTGCCTGTTCTACATTTCTGTTTGGAAACCATGAATTCATCAACATGATACTAGGAGTTACGACGTGGTCTCTTAACTTCTGAGGGCAGTAATGAAGCCCTCAGAAGGAAAAGGAACTCTTTGCTAATTGACCTGACTCTTCAAGCCTTTTGAGAATACTGTGATTCTGTAAATATTGCAAAGGACGATGGGATCTATGAAAACAGCTATGTAAGGAGAGGTGGATTTCTTACTCTGTGGATTTGGTTGCAGCAGAATGTGGGGAAGCCTTGCTTGCTATGTAATGGCCATGAGAACAGGGGTCAGATAGGTCTACTCTGAATCCAGAGTTTTTTTGTGTGTCCCTGCCTCAGTTCTACTGGTTCTTGATTAGACTAAACAATAGATTACATAGTTATCTTAAGTGGGCCACTTTTGAAAGTGAATAGGAGCAGTATTAATAATTACACCAGGATTGGAATGAGTTTCCAAAACTGTTAACTATGGGGTTTCAGAATCCAGAAGTCACCTCTTTTCTAGTCATAGAGCAATGCCTTCCCTCAGTGAAGTGATTTTTAAACCTCCAACTTTGGTATACAAGAGAATCATCTGGAGAGTTTGTTAAAAAGGAGATTCTCAAACTCCAGCCCCAAAGATTCCAATTCATTAGGTCTGGAGTGGGACCCAGATGAGGCTGATGTAGTTGGTCAAAGACTGCATTTTAAGGAAATATACTGCTTTTACTTACCTGCCCAGCTCTCCTGAGAAATGTCTTTTGCTAGATAGTAAAGTAGCCAACAGATTTAGATGCGATGCATTTGAAAGACAGTTGATCAATATTATTTGATACTAATCTCCCTTGTAGTATTAGAAACATGAAGCTTACCAAATACCAAGTTAAAATCTATACCAATCTATTATACAGGATCTATCTTACAGGACTTACTGGGATAATATTCCCAAACATTCCATCTGGCTC